CGCACGGTGGAGACCATCGCTACTGGGGTGGAGGCCATCGCTAGTAGTAACAAGAAGCTGCGGGTTGAATACATGAGTTTGAGGGAAATTCTCTTCCCAAAGGCTAGGCAGCGTGGAAGTTCGTGGCCAGGCCTCCCGAGGCAACTCTCCATGGTTGAGAAGCTTGGAGCCGGGACCCTGGTGAAAAAATGCCTCTCATCGGAATGGGCTGGCGACCAACACATTTTTTCTTTAAAGTGATTCATTTTTGTGCCATTCTTGTCAGGTTGGAGGCCATTGCTTCTAGGGTGGAGGCCATCACCATCAGTAGCTAGAAGCTCTAGCAGCAAGGGCATTTCGGTTCACCTCTGAGGTACCGTACCAACATCCAGGAGGCTCTGGTTGGACAAGGGATGGCAATGGGATCTTCACCGGTCGCGGTTTTGGACCACCAGCCGCACCAAGAAGTCACGAAAGGTAGCTTGAGCTACCTGAGTTCTCCTTGCTTTAGCAAAAATGTATTACAATCAGGAGTTGGGATTGTGCATTGAATTTGGTCCTGTAAGAGTTGATTCAAATCCCCCCTGCGCCGGTTCACGCCGTCGTGGACTTCTACCAGGGTTACTTGTGATTGCCTGCTACCTTTCGTTCACCCCCTCCTCTCTCAAGTGGGTCCAAAAGCAGAAAAGACCGTCCACTGCGTGGGCTACGGCTTCCGTTCTCACAGAAGCCGACCAGGAGACGTTCCTCATATCATATTGGTCGGCTCGTAGAAGAATTGACAAATGCTCGTGTGGTACCTTGACAACATAGATAGAAGTCTGCTGGAATGGAGATTTGACAGGAACATCCAGTGGCCCAACCAAGTTCGTAGAGGAACACCCTCATTTCCCTGACCTCTTTGCTTGTTGTTGCCACATTGATTTGACCTCCGCTGCAAAGTGGAGTATATTTCAAAATTGTATGAAGGTTCGTTCAGAAGCTCCTGTGGTGGGCTCCCGTGCAGGATGGTAGGCTTTGGGCCCTGGCCAGAAGTATGTAGGCAGAGAAGTGGCAAAGGCGCATAGGTGGTTGAGGTCATACACAGATTCTGGTTAGACGTGTTGCTGCATGGACCTTCCAAGTTTCCATTTCACAACCATCCAGACATTCAGCACCGGGTCATCCCTTCTCCTCCTGAACTCCGTCACTGGGTCCAAACACCTGTTTTTGGTACCCCATCCTCGCCGACTGGCGGTCGAGGTCTTGCGCGATGCTGTGAAGGCCAATCGCTTGTTGATGTCCAGTGCCAAGGAAGGTTATTGGCGAGGAGTCTTTCAGGCCAGATCACGAACATGTTTCGAGTCACGTGAGTCACGTGTTACATGGAGCATACCGAATGGCCAGACTGACATATGCGAAAGTGCCGACTGTCCCACTTGTTCCTTGGGCTTTTTCCTGCAGACTATTTCCTGTATAGCACCCGCAACTTGCACTGGTGGGCTTGAGCTTTGCAGGCCATCGAGCATGGCGCCTGGCTCGACTTGCCAGATGAGGCCACGCTTTGCTGAGCTGCGGGCGTGTCTGGCTGGCGTCACAGGTGTCAAGGGTCCAATCTTCACGAAGACGCACTGAGTCACTGAGTCAGTTCGATGATGCACTGAGGAACGAAAGGAACCAAAAGGACCGAGGGAGGGAACACTGTGAAGAACTATACAGTAATACAGCTTCGAAGAATCCATCGGTGCAGATTCGAAAGGGAATTACAATCTTTTCCGCTTTGCGCCCACTTGGCGTGCAGCCTGTAAGCATGCACCCGCTTCTGTGCCTGCGGGAGGCGCAGAAGACCTCGTTGGCCTGGGCATCTACCCATGGCAGTGCCATGGCGGCGCGGAAGCTGGTGGAGGCACAACTGGGGATGGAGGAACGTGCCTGGTTGGAGATAGAGGGACTGAGGGAGTCTTGGCGAAGATGGCATTGTCAGGCGAAAGTCATTTAGAGAGACATACGCGACCTGTATATATGCATCTACAAACCCCAGATTCTTAGACAATTGCATGGGCGACCGTCCTCATATGAGATCACCCCTAAGGGCGGTCCGACGGATGCTTGCAGATTTTTTTTCACCAAACAGTGTGGACACACTAGGGGTTCTTACGGTAAGTGAATGGGAGCTGATGCTTAGATCCCTGAAAAGCGCGGGCGTGTGCGGCTAATTTGCTGCTATTTACAGTGCATTCATGCCTCTCGAAACCCTCGAAGTGCATTTCGACTGCGCAGGCTCACAAAGTCTGGGGGCCCGCGGCGGGTGTTTCTAACGACTGCGCTCTCGTTGTGGCGCCGTGCGCATTTTCGGACCTGGTGGTCACTTTTCGTGGCAAGTGCCAGGGAAACCTTGTGTTTTGGTGCTCGAAAGTCGACTTTTCGTGACAGGTGCAAGGGATCGGAGCTGATTTACTTTGAAATGCAGTTTTCGTGGCAGGTGCAGCACTTTGGACATTGTGGTGATCGTCGAGGAGCTCAGATTTCGTGACAGGTGCTGTGAATCGTGACTTTTGGACATGTGGCTCGTTTGCAGATTTCGTGGCAGGCACAGCACTTGGTAGACCTCGAAATGCAGATTTCGTGACAGGCACACCACTGGGTGAACCTCGAAGTGCAGATTTCGTAGCAGGCGCATCATTTCGTGCTCTCAGATGTTCACTCTCTCACTCCCTCACTCTGACTCTCACTCCCTCACTCTGACTCTCACTCTCACTCTCACTCTCACTCTCACTCAGAGTGAAAGTGAGAGGTGGGAGGTGACAGGTGAGAGGCGAGAGGTGAGAGGTGCGTGCGAGTGCGAGTCACACTCACACTCACACTCTCTCTCACTCTCACTCTCTCTCACTCACTCTCTCTCTCTCTCACTCACTCACTCTCACTCACTCACTCACTCACTCAAACTCACTCACTCACTCACTCACTCACACTCACTCACTCACCCACTCGCACTCGCACTCGCACTCGCACTCGCACTCGCACTCGCACTCGCACTCGCACTCGCGCGTGTATGAGTGAGTGAGAGTGAGAGTGAGAGTGTCACTCTCACTTTCACGCTCACACTCACTGACTCTCCGACTCTCACTCACACTCACACTCACTCACTCTCACTCACTCTCACCCACCCTCACTCACTCTCACTCACCCACTCACTCTCCCTCACTCTCTCCCTCCCTCCCTCACTCAGTCACTCACTCACTCACTCACTCACTCTCTCTCACTCCCTCTCTCTCTCTCTCACTCACTCACTCACTCACTCACTCCCTCTCTCTCTCTCTCACTCACTCGCTCGCTCACTCGCTCACTCACTCACTCACTCACTCACCCACTCTCTCACTCTCACTCTCACTCTCACTCTCACTCTCACACTCACACTCACACACTCACACACTCACACACACACTCACACACACACACTCACTCACTCACTCACTCACTCACTCACTCACAATCACCTTCATCACCACCGTCACCTCTCTGGACCCCAATGCGTCTAGACTTTCTGCTTATAGACCTCACACATACTGTTTGGGGTCTCTTACCGGGATAGTTCTCAATTTTCTGTATTACTATTGCTAATATGCTCAGTCCATCACTGCTGCGTGATCCGTGGATGTTACTCAGATGCTCATTCCAACATGATTCATGTACTGAACATCTTCTTGTTACGTTCATAGCGATTGCCTCCAACCTCTACTAGCGATGGCCTACTCCAACCCAACAGCGATGGCCTCCACCCTAGTAGCTTCTTGTTACTGTACTAATCAGGATGAAGATCCGAACGGATCGGACCGTTTGTCCACTGGACCCCCTGAAAGAGCCACCCCAGGCGCGTGCTTCGGTGGGCCTCCGCGACACGTGTGGGTGGACTGCATTAGCTTGGGCCGTCCCTTGGGCAAGAGGATGACGTGGGTTGTTAGTCAGGCTGGGCCCGTAGTGGCCCAATCCCGGATTTTCTGGCTGCCGGTGGACTTGGTTGGTTCCTCTTCTCCCGCCCTTGGGGAGGTGACCTGGTAGACCAGGGCACAGGTGTTTCGTGCGTTCCAATACGGAGGCCTCTTCAGGGTTTTTCTCCTCTGGGGTGCCTATGAGTCATATGAGCGTGGAGTTTTCAGTCGCCATGTGAATCGGGTGGTCCACCTTGGGGCGCAAATTGTTCCCCATGCCATTGGGCGTTCAGTTTTAGGCCGACACGCGGGTTTTTTGGTGGCGTGCAGACACCATGGATTCACGCTGAGGCGCACAACAATTGGCCGAAGGTGGGGGGTCTAAATGGATGGTGGACAGATGCGGTGTGTAGTGTGGTCTGATGACGTTGAGCATTCATGAATCTTCAGAGCCAAGGAATGCCTGATGGTCAGAGCCAAAGAACCCTTCTTTAGGGGCCAGTGAAGGGGCATAACTGATGCAACCCCAAATGAAGGGTGAAACATGAATTGCCAAATGTTTTGAAGAGAGCGTGGCTGCACCATGAGGTGAATGGTGTTAGATGTCTTAGGTACTTGTAGAGCCTAGTGCACGTTCCCATAGTTGTCCCCCCCGCCTTTTGCGAAGTTTGTCACACGAAGGGTCAAGGCATTATAGAAACATTGGAACGTTTGTAAAGGTCGTCTTTAGTCAGAACCTCCAACTGTTCCCTATCACGGAGTCATTTCGATGAAGATGGCCCACCCCGGGCCCACCCCAAGGCGCCTCAGTGACTTTCACCCACCCACCCATCTCCTCCATGGAAAAAGGTTCCCATGCACGGCCCTTTCAGTCGTGGAGGTTGCTTCAGTCTTGCAGTACCACAAGGCAGATGTGAACACTCGGACCTTCACAGGCGCTTGGTTTGCTGCATGGCGGAGCTTCCGCCGTGTTTCAGCACCCGAAGGAGCGACCGAAGGCGCACACCCAAACATCGCGTAGGACCATCGGTTCCTGGTGGAAGTTCCATGGCCACGGAGAATCCGATTCGGTGGGACCCAGCGGAAGTCCGAACTGTCGCGGGCTCATGTCGCAGAGGGTATGCATGTTGCGCACACCATTGGTGCCATTTGATCTAAGCATTTGGATCGAAGCTCCACCGCGGACGGGTCTAAACTCGGGCGAGGCGGTCCGCGCACGGGTGGAGCGAACCCGTCCATTCGAGGGGTTGAAGCCATGGCTCCCTCGGAATTGCGCAACAAGTTGAAGCGGACGAAGATTTGCAGGTTGCTTGAATGTTGGAAGTTTGGAGGGTTTCTCTAACATCTCTAACTGTGGGCGTTGATGTAGCTACTTGTTCTCACTCGTGACCTCTAGTAAGTGCAGCCTGCACAGTGCAGCAGGCAGGGATTCTGTCGGGTGAGTCGCATGAGTGCAAACAATTGGAACCTGTCTGGCATGTCATGTCTACAGTGCTATCGGAGTAGACAAGCACTGGCACCCCAAAGATGTCTTTGAGATAAGGGTTCCATGACGAATCAAACTCATCACGAAAGCTAGCGCCAGCTAGCTGGAGTTGTTCTTGCTTTAGCAAGTGAGGGGCTGCAATCCTCGAGAGCGCCGCATCGCATGAAAACTTCATATATATCGAGGGGGTGACCCCACCCCCCCTCCCAGTTCAACTCCTCCCTGGGACGTGTGTATTTCCGCTGGCAGACTGTTCCGGGCAGCACTCGGTCGGATATCGCTCGCTTCACCCCCGCCCTGCTAGCTTTCGTCACCAACCCTCGGCCTCAACTTGGACATACTAAAGCATCTTCAACCTCCCAACTTGGATGGTGCCAGGTGCTCTGCCCCTCACCAATTCACATCAATAGCACGCCCCCCCCTCCGCGCTGCTCAGTGATCTCCCCAGGTTTTGGGTATTTGGACGGTGTGCCCTCGGAGCCTCGGCGGACCGCGGCGATCCACGCGGCGCCTCTTTGGGGGCCGATTCGTCCGTTGAGGCGGCTATCCTTTGGAGGGGTACAAGTATCATTGTCATGTAATTTGGTGCTTTTTTTGTTGTTTCCCTTTAAGTGGGTTCTGGTCTTCTGGCTTCTGATTCTGTGGCTTCTTGGCTTTATTCAGCGGCCGAACTTCTTTTCCCGCCAGCCACGGATAGTTTTTTGGGGGCTGAGTCCACCAGCCGCCGAATGCTTTGGCGGATGGC